AGGGACAGGAGGGGATCCTCCCGGCGCCCCGGCTCCGCCCCGGCTCAGCCCCGCCCTGCCCGGGATGCTGCGCTCGGCAGAGCTCGGCTCCGTTCGGCTGGACTCGGCTCCTCGGCCAGCTTCGGCTACTTTCGGCCACGCTCGGCTATTTCCGGCCGCATTCGCCTCGATTCGCCTCTTCGGCAAAGCTCGGCTCGCCTCGGCTGAACTCGGCAAAGCTCGGCTCCGCTCGCCTCCTCGGGCCCTTTCGGCTGCTTTCGGCCACGCTCGGCTATTCTCGCCCGTACCCGCCTCCATTCGCCCATTCCCACAGCTCGGCTCCCTCCGGCTCACACATTTCCTCAGGGCACCTCATTCCACTGCACACAAATTGCAGCCCCTAAAAGGCTTGCGGCTCTTTCAACACACACACACTTGCTCCTTTAGGACAAGAATAGTTACATCTAAAAGCAATTCCCTCATTTTGCATCTCCTTTTTATTTAACCCCCCCAAAATCCCATACATATCACAAGGAATGTGCAGTTCTGGTTCCCCCACCCTCCATACCCTATTTGTACAAAGGACCTGGGCGCAGCACACACTCGGGATTCAACTGAATAAAGCCCGGCTTCAATAATCAGAACAAATGACGTTTGTTTACAAATTAGGTGCAGTTTTGTACGGTGCTGCGTACCCTTGGAGCTGAGTCGAGGAAAAAGAACTGGAACCTAAGTTTTAGCAGCCAAGTCATTTGTAACTTGTGCCACAAAGTAAAACAAGCATAACTACAGTATTATCTGCTGAAGTTCTCCACTGTGGATTTCGGGTACAGCAGCACGTGCTTTACTCCCAGCAAAAGCTGCTCAGGTGGGGGGAGCCAGGAAGCCAAGTCTCTCCACTTTGTCTGAACACCATCTTCCAGGAAGGTACTGCTTCCTCTCTCCCAGGCTCCCTTCAGCAAAGTGGCAAATACAGAATCCGGTGCCACAGGAGGCTCTTGGCTTACCTCCTTGTGGTTTTCAAACTGTTTAAAGCCAAACAAAAAGCATAAGAGAAAAACAGTGATGAGTATGAAACAAAAATCTCTTCAGCCACCTTTGTTTTGAGATGAGCTCTGAACTGAAGCTCTGGGAGCACAGGCGTGCAGTCCTGCTAGAACAGAGCTGCCCAGCAGTGTCCCCAGGGGCATCTGGAGTGTTCACACTGCTGAGCTGAGAAAAACTCAACAAACCCAGCCATGGGGCCTGTGATCCTCCACCCACCCGGGGGAACTCCGGGTGCTGTAAACAGAGGCCACAGCGCACACCAGGCTTTGCTGTGCCTGCTGAGGAGTCTCTGTATGAGTCCTGAGCCCTGGCATCGCCTCCCAAACACCACAGAGACCTCTTGTGCCATCAGAGAAAAGCCCTGGAGCAAACGTGTGTCCCCAGCACGACCAACAAGAGATGCAGAATTACCTCCTCAATAAAAACGCTGTTTCTGATGGAAATGTAACCTCTGTCGACTACGAGGATTTTACAGGAATACTGGCTCAAGAATTCAGTGACTTCAGGGATTCCATACCACAGGCTCCTGGGACTGCTTGGGCATCCAGAGTCTATAGTATCAGTTAAACTGGTAGAGCTGAGGATACTTAGCAGCTTTCAGGGACTCGGGACCTTTGTCACAGAGCTGGAACGTCACGCAGGGAGCAAGGGGTTCTCTCGGAGAGTGCAGGAGGCCAGTGAAAACAGCACCAAGGTCCTCCACGACATCTGCTCCTAGAAAAGCCAAATAAATTAAACTATTGACATGAGCACGGACACTGGGACAACCTTCCTTACTTTGGGCCTTGCCAGCAGCCCACAGAGCCTCATGCAGAAAAGAACTGAACGAGATCAAAAAGTGTTC